CCTGGGGGAGGGTCAAAACCTTAAGTGCTATGTACTTGCCACAGCTGAGGCTACAACCACAAGACTAGCCAACCCTCGGACAGCACAGACAGTAGGCCCGACACCCCACCGATTGAGAACAGCCCCCACCCTGCCACAGTTGGATCAAGCCTCAAGTATATAATATACTGAGTCCGTGTTGAGCTCCTTCTATGGACTGTTGCAGGCGGGAGCTATATCCAACCCAAAAGCGCCCAGCCATACTCGCTCGAGCTAGATTCCCCAGCCTGGAGGGAACGAAATGCCCACGGACATGATGCGGACATTCATGAAGACCATGACCTGGAGGCATCTTCAGAGGATCCTTTTCAGAAGCCTGTCTTCCAGGCTTGAGGTTTGTGGTGAGGCTTTGCGGTCCTGTGGCTGAGACTGCGAGGTTTGGGATTTGGCTTTGAAAGGCCCTCCGCGAAGTGGAAGGTTCGACTCGGGCTTCCTGGCCGGTTTAGGGCTTAGGGTTGCAGCATTGCAAACCACATCTACAACTGGTCCTGAAGTAGATGGAAGATGCGCCAAGCTTCCAAACCTTCAAGAGGGGGGTTTCCGAGAATAAGGGAACCTGAATATAGTAACCTAAACAGGTAAGATCCTTATGATAAGGACCCGCAAAGAAGGCCTAATTTTCGGAAACTCCCACATTCTACTCCAGGATGGCTCTCATCACACTGGAACCATAGCTGGACCCAAAGACCTGAAGTAGGGTCGGCCATAGTGTTAGGGAAACCCTAAACCCTAAACCCCTAAACCCTAAACCCTAAACCCTAAACCCTAAACCCTAAACCCTAAACCTTAAAGGTCATAGTGTTAGGGAATCCTGAAGGACCCCCATGAATGGGGGCCCATACCCTAGGAACCTGAAGGAAGCCGCCTTCAGGAGCCCCTATGAAAGGGTTTAGGGTTTAGGGTTTAGGGTTTAGGGTTTAGGGTTTAGGGTTTAGGGTTTAGGGTTTGAAGCAGGGTTTAGGGTTTAGGGTTTAGGGTTTAGGGTGGGGCTCCTTTAATTTACTTCCCCAACAAAGCCACGAAAACAGAAGGCCAAACTTATAGATTACTACTCAACTAGAAGGACCCCGAAAAGGCGTAAAGGCTGGGTATTGGAGAACTAAGTTAAGCCAGCTAAACCCTAAACCCTAAACCCTAAACGCCCCAGGCTTTGCTCCCAAGGCGCCTTGAACTGCGCGTTGAGGCACCCGAAGTAGAGACCTATGCCGATGGCGTGCGCAGACTTCAAGCCCGCAAACCTGGGTTGCTGCAAGGAACTTAATTTGCTACTATGTTGCGGATATATAATATGTCATATCGTTTCAATATTACAGTAACTTATAATGCTAAAACTCTATAAACTTCTGTTTGAAAATCCCCCTTATACTTAACAGCAACCCAGAAACTTGAAGTGCTTCCACTTGATGCCAACCGAGAGTTGAACTCGAGCCATGAAGGCGTAGTTGTCCATGTTCTTCCTAGGGTTTAGGGTTTAGGGGTTTAGGCTTTAGGCTTTAGGGCCTATAGCCCGGCGATGTCAACCTATAAGGTGAAGTCCTGGGGGTTAGGGTTTAGGGTTTAGGTCATAGGCAACCTATAACTAACTTTAATCCCC